AATATAAAGAAGTATGAAAAATAATTTCTCGACACTGTAATGGATATTGAAAGTAGATATTGGGTGTTTAATATACATTGAAAAGTAAGTATTGAATACATACATAGAACATTGAATATATATCATCTAAATAGTGAAAATAGGTATGTTATTGTTGTTATGTGGCATCGAGTTGTTTGCGACTCATAGCGACCCTACTATGTACAAGAGCCCTAAACTCTATCCTGTGCCAGCCTCGCCGTCTCCGACACACTCATTCCCACCACCCCACTCACAGAATGGAAAATAGGCACTGAAACGGTATTTTTATTCATCAAAGAAGGTGAAATAGAATACTGAATATCGACACCCTTTGTATTTAAAATTGATACTGGAACTCTACTTTGATTCCTCACAGCATACAAAATATATACTGGATTTCTATAATTTTGAGTATCTTCGATAGACTCAATATTGAAAGTAGATATAAAGACTGAATTTCATTCCTCACAACTCGCGGCCCCCCGAAGTCCTCATTCCTCACACCGTTTGTTTCAGTTTTTCAAAGGAAAAAGAGCTGGGGGTTGGGGGAATCTGAATGGAAAGGGGCAGAACCGGGCAGCAGGTGTCCAAGAAGGATGGGTTTCTAGGAGTTTGGTCCAAGGAGAACCAAGAGAAGGGACGCCTTTCCCTCAGGGCGTTTGCCCTCACAGAGCCACTTGTGGCCTGTCACTCCTGTCCGGGGCCCTCACAGAGCCACTTGTGGCCGGTCACTCCTGTCCGGGACACCACCCCCTCAAGGCTAGGACACCCAAACTAGTGGAGCAGGGTATTCGGGACACCCTTACCTAGGGACATGTCCAGAAAATCCATCCAGGGTCTGTGTGGGGAGTCTGTTAAATCATTATCAGAAACCTTGGGGGTTGAAAGCGAGGACATCTCCTCAGCTTAACAGCTCCAACCGCCCCAGAATCCGGGGTATAGCGCGTACAGCGCCCCCTTTGTGTCGCCTAAGGAATCAGCCAGTAGGATCCTCCAATCACAGCCCCTTGGGCGGGATCTAAGGTCCCGCGAGAGGCGGGGCTTTACACTTGCCTCTCTCCTATTCCCCCCTCCCCCCCGACCCCCCTGCCATTTTCTACCCATCACACTTGATGTTTGTTTATATTTTTGGTGACTGATTTCTTGTCAGTTGACAATTTTTTAAAAAAATTAATATTTAAAATAACAATAACAATTTTACATGTTCATATAAATAAAGTGTTTTTATGAAAGAAACAGAAGTCTATTTTCTTTAAAAAACTAATGAGAAGATTGGTATTGTGACACATTTTATAATCCTTTTCCATATCTGACAATAGAAGGTAACAGGGCTCCCATAGGAGCTTCTACATTCGATGTGTTGCGTTCTCTGTCTCTCACACACAAACACCCTGCAATCAAGCTCTCTCGCTCTTACTCTTTCTCACGCTCTCTCTTTCCCTCACTCTCTCATTGTTGTCAAGTAGGAATTAACTCATAGTGACTCTCCAATGAGTTTTCAGGAGAATGTAAATTTCACTGGAGGAGATTGTTCCAGAGAGTGGCTGGTGGATTCAAACCACAGAGTCACTGACTTAGAAGCATAATTCCTATGGACTTTTCCACCAGAGCCCCCTAGTATGTTGTTAGTGTGTCCGTGTTGTTTACTGTTGAGTTAGAACCAACCCATATTTCATCCTCCAGTGAATGTTCAGAGGCAGTAAATTACACAGGAGGAGATTGCCCATCTTTCTCCCACCAAACAGTTGGTGGCTTTGAACCACATGCCTATAAGAGTGCTGCGCAGCTTCTTACCGCTAGGCCACCAAAGTTCCCTTTTTAGTTTGAAATGTATGAAGAAAATCCATCCTTACTCCTCCATGCATTTGGAAAATGGAGGATTTTGATAATCTTTGTAGATAATTGTGCCTCAATTCAACTACCCTTGGATTCAGAATCCGCTCATAGCTGACCATTCGGCGGATTTTCAGAGGCTGTAAATCCCATCGAAAGAGATTGCCCCCTTTCTCTCAAAAAGCCTTGGGTGGATTAACACCGTCAGAGAGGAGTCACTTTTCAGTTAGCAGTGCAACACGCTACGGGCTACACCGCCACAGCTCTCTAAATGTGACTGCTGGTTTTCGTTGTTGTTGTTGTTTTTATGCTAGTTTTATTTAATATTGTATCAAAATCCAGAAGTGGAAATGAGACTTCTTAAAGATTAGTTGTCAGGTAGAATCTAAAACCATATCAGGGAACTTCTTGTATTGTCCATCGTCCTCTGTTCTATTTTAACTTTGTGTCATCATTGAACAAGAATAGTTCCCATTTCATTCGGTCATATGAAAAAATTTACGTTTGTTAACATCACCAATCTCATCAGAAAACTCGTAAGTTTTAGGAAGCTAATTTCAAAAATGTTTTTACTAGAAAGTTTCCATTTCACCTCTGGTAATAAATATTGTTAGAAATGCTCTTGACTTGACAAATTTACTTCGTTTAATGGATGGGCAAATATGACAATCAATCACATAAGTGATTTTCCTCAAGACAACCATTCCAATTCATTCAGGATGTAGTGCAATTGTTGTTAAGTAATTGTAATTTCTTCACTGAAAGACTATACCCATTGTTGTCAGGTTGATTCTGACTTACAATGATCTTACAGTACAGAGTAGGGGTTTCCAAGACTGGCAAAGTGCCTGGAATGCTCGAACCACAGACCTGTCAGTTAGCAACTGAACATTTTACCTCTGTGTCATCAGGACTCTTCTCTTTTAATCGAATATGATATTAAATAGATATGCACATTATGGTGGAATAAGGAATCTCAAAGAAGAATCGGTGCCTTGGAACTCTGTTAGTGAAGAGCATTGACTATACCATTGACTCTCAAAAGAACAAACCAGTGCTTGCTTCTGCAGCCCATATCCTAATATTGGAACAAAACAGAGAAGATTTGCTTATCTCCTGAGCAAGAATGGCACACAACTTCATGAAGTGCCCCATATTTTTAAAAAGAAATTCTAGTTACCTAAAGAAGATTTAAAGCTTGTCTTAGAAAAGGGAGAGAGGCTTGTGAGAGATAAATGAATAAATAAGTCTAGGCCTTTGACTGTATGGATCACGTCAAATTGTAGCTTATACTGAGGAAAATGGGAATCCCAGAACATTTGATTGTGCTTCTGTGAAACCTATACTTGGACCACGGAAGCAGTCCTCAGAACAAAGCAAGGAAACACTGCATGGTTCAAAATCAGAAGTGTGTCAGGGATGCATATGCAAAACAGATCATGCAGGTAGCTAAGCTTTATGAGGAGGAATGTGGCATCAAAATTGGAGGAAGACTCTTTAACAGCATATGCTATGTAGATGATACAACCTTGCTTGCTAAAATGGAGGAGGACCTGAAGCATTTGCTGCAGAAGGTCAAGGATTGTAGTCTTCAATGTGTATTGAAGCTCCACATCAAAAAGACAAAGATGCTCACTACTGATCCAATTGATAGGACTATGATATATGGAGAGGAGACTGACGTTGTTAACAATTACAGCTTGCTCAGCTCTACAATCAGCACTCTTAGCACCAGGAGTCAGGAAACCAAAAGACGAGCTTCACTGGGAAAATACGCTATCAGGGACCTCTCCAGAGTAGTGAAGAGCAACGACGTCAGTCTAGAGACTAAGATGTACCTAATCCAGGCCATCATCTTCGCAATTACTTCCTACGCGTCAGAGAGCTGGACAATGACTAAGTATGATAGAAGAAGAATCGATGCCTTAGAATTGTGTTGCTGGAGAAGAGTCTTGAACATACAATGAACCACCAAGAAAACAAATAGGTCTGTCTTGGAGAGGGTGAAACCAAGTCTTTCCTTGGAGGCTAGGATTTTGATGCTTTGTTCACATACTTTAGGCACAGGGCCAGAAGAGACTGGTTCTTGGAGAAGGAGATCATGCTCAGAAGTGTGGAGGGACAGCGTAGGAAAGGAAGACCCCGGATGTGATGGATTGATACAGTTACTGGGGTAACGAAGATTAGTGTGTCGGAATCAGTTTGACTGGCTCAGGAAAGGTCAGGCTTCAGAGCTGCTGTACATAGAGTCATTGTGGGTTGCAGGCGACACGAAGGCACATAACAAAAAGAAAAACATCTTTAAATCCAAATCTTTACACATTTCATTATAATACTTTACTTTGTCTTCCCGCACTGCCCTTTGAAATCTTCTGTTTGGCTCCCTAATTTGTTGATCTCTTTCCTTTGATTTGGCTCCTCAGAGCTCTAGTGCAATATTCAGAGTCTCGTCTGACATCCATCTTGGTCTTTTCTTCTTCCTCTCTTTGTAATGATCTTTTGAATTCTTCATGGATGATATTCTTAATATCCTCTCACAGTTCATCTGGTCTTCATTCATTAGTGTTCCTGAGATGGTTCTGAAATTCAAGTGGGATAGACTCAAGGTCTTGGGTTCCTGTGGATTTTATTTAACCTTCTTTACCTACAGCTTGAAATTGCACATGAATAGTTGATGGTCTGTTCTGCAATCAACACTTGGCCTAGGTTTCAAAGCTGATATTGAGTGAGATTCTCCAGCGATTCTTGCCACATATGTAATCGATCTGATTCCTATGCATACTATCCATATGTGAAATCCATATATACAATATGTATTTATGTTTCTTATAAAAATATTTGCAATGATTAAATCATTGATTATACAGAATTCTATCTCCAGCTTCTTTTGTTCTTTGCTTAGCCTCCACCTTCACATGCATAATGTTCTTATCCAGGGACTGGCCCCTCCTGGCACCATGCTTCTAATAAGTAAGAAAATGTCCCACCATCCTAGCTCCTAATGAACACTCTGGTTATATTTCCTCAAAGACAGATTTGTCTGTTCTTTTATCAGTCCATGATATGTTTAATACTCTTTGCTAACACCAGAAATTTAAGGCATCAATTATGCTTTTATCTTCCTTATTCATTGTTCACATTTCAGGCACAAATTTCAAGTAATTAAAAAAATTATTACTTGGATCAGGCGCACTTAATCTTTAAACTGACATCCATGCTCTTTAGGACTTGTAAGAAATTGTTTGATGAAAGTTTTCTCAGTGCAACACATCTTTAGACATGTACACTGTTGCTGCCATAGGTGTTTATTTGGTTCCAAGTAAAATGACCCTATTGACAACTTCAATCTTCTTCATCTATTAGATAGATTTCTCCTTCTATTATATAAGCTGTTCTAGTGTTCCAGTTATTAGGATTTTTGTTTTCTTTATTTTGAGGTGAATTCCATATTTAAGGTTGTGGTCCTTACATATCTTCAGGTAGGTTTTGAAGCAAGTCCACTTCATTTCATGCAATTAGGATGTGTCATCTTTATATTATACATTATTGTTGAATATTCCTTCAGTCCTGATATCACATTCTTTTCATATAATCTAGATTCTTTCATTAACTCCTCATGCTCTAGTTCCTCTTAGTTACGCTTTTTAAAGTAGACTGAAAAAGAGGAACATCCTCAAGCAGATGGATAGACGTGGTGGCTGAAACAATGGGTTCAAATATAGCAATGATTGTGAGGATGGCTTAGAACCAAATTTTTCTTGTTGGATGTCATAGAGTACAACTCAAAGCGACCTGAGGAACAACAGATTTAAATGCTGTCCTACCTTGTGCCATTCTCATCATTTCTGACATACTGGAGGTAGTTTGTTTATTATTCAGTCAAACACTAGGGGGCAATAGAAGTGCAGCTGGGTAAAGTTACAGGAACTGGGGAAAGTAAAAAAAAAACCCCACATTGAAATTTGCTTCATTAAAAATTGAAATATTTGGCTGTGGAATTATTCAAGAAGAATCTAGGTGTCTACTCTCAAAAGAAATAGAATTATTGTAAAGGGGTTAAATGA